CCTCGCCCTCTGCCCCTCCTCCAACTTATGCATGCACGCTCTCTAAATAAATAAATACATACATAAATAAAATCCTATAAAGATCATCTCAGAAGTTAAAGTGGTACCATAATTGTTGGTAGAAAAGGGTGAGAAGTTGGCATTTTTTTTCAAGGATTGGTTAAGCCCTTCATATGTGATAGTTGTTGTGCTAGTAACTACTAGCTACCCATAGTTCAGCAAATCTAGGATACCTTGGGTTTTAAAATACACCAGTATTTAATTTAGCCTCAAAAAAGAGAAGAAAGGGACACCTGGGTGGCTCAGTTGGTTAAGCAGCTGCCTTCGGCTCAGGTCATGATCCCAGCGTCCTGGGATCGAGTCCCGCATCGGGCTCCTTGCTCATCGGGGAGCCTGCTTCTCCCTCTGCCTCTGCCTGCCGTTCTGTCTGCGTGTGCTCGCTCTCTCTCCCTCTCTCTCTCTCTCTCTGACAAATAAATAAATAAAATCTTAAAAAAAAAAGAGAAGAAAAAGCCAACAATTGAATCATAACACATTGTGTACATATCTCTTAGCATTTTTTATATTTATTTCGAGAGATCCTTGGGGCACCGGGGTGGCTCCGCCCATTGGGACCTAACTCTTGATTTCACCTCAGGTTGTTGTCTCAGGGTCATGGGTTCGAGGCCCTTATTGGGTTCTGTGTTCAGCACAGTCTGCTTGGAATGCTCTCTCTTGCTGTCCCTCTGACCCTCCCCCTGCTTGCACACATACTCTCTCTAAAAGAAGAAGACCTTTAGACTTTTAAAAAACTTTTATTGTAATTCACATAAAACTGACCATTGTAAAGTGTACATTTCAGTGGTGTTTAGTGTACTCAGTGTTGTACAACCATCGCCACTAATTCCCGAACTTTGTCATTACCCAGTAAAGAAGCCCTACATCTGTTAGTAGTTGGTCCCGATTCCTCCCTGCCCCCATCTCTGGGTAACTACTAATCTACTTTTTGTCTCTTTGGGTTTGTCTGTTCTGGACATTTCATATAATAAAATCATACAGTATGTAGCTGTTTTGGTCTAGGTTTTTCGTTCTTGTTTTTCTTAAGTAGGTTCCATGCCCGTAATGGAGGCCAGTGCAGGACTTGAATTCATAACCCTGAGATCAAGACCTGAGCTGAGACCAAGAATCAGAAGCTCGGGGCGCCAGGTAGCTCAGTTGGGGGTCTGCCTTCAGTTTGGGTTGTAATCTTGGGGTCCTGGGATTGAGCACATTGTCGGGCTTCCTACAGTGGGGAGCTTGCTTCTCCCTTTCTTCCCACCTGTGGTCCCTGTCTCTCTCTTTCTCTCTCTCTCTCTCAAATGAATAATTAAACTCTTTTAAAAAAAAAAAAGTCAGAAGCTTAACTGACGGAGACACCCGGGCACCTCTCTGTCTAGGTTCTCTGACTTAGCATTGTGTTTTCACAGTTTGTCTACGTTGGAGCAAGTATCAGTGCTTCATTCCCTTTTATGCACAAATAATATTCCATTGTATGGATATACCACAGTTTATCCATTCATCATTTGGACATTTGGATAGTTTGCACTTTGGGGCCATTATTAATAATGCTGTGAACATTCATGTACAGGTTTTTGTGTGAATATATATTTTTATTTCTCTTGGGTATATAACTAGGAATGGAATTGGCTGGAACATGTTTTAATCATCTGAGGAACTGCCATACTTTTTCAAAGTGATTGTAGCATTTCATAGTCCGACCAGCAATGTATAAGGGTTTCATTTTCTCCACACCTTGACCAATGTTTGTTATTGATAGTCTTTTTAATTATACCATCTAGTGTGTGCCAAGTAGAATTTTGTGGTTTTGATTTGCATTGTCCTAATGCATATAATGTTGAACATCTTTTCATGTGCTTATTGGCCATTTGTATATCATCTTCAGATAAATGTTCAACTCCTCTATTTAAAAATTGCATTGTGTTTTAATTTTTGAGTTGCAATAGTGTATTTTGGATAGTAGACCTTATCAGATGTATGGTTTGCAGATATATTTTCCATTCTGAGGAATGTCTTTCTACTTGCTTGCTAGTGTTGACTCACAGATTTTTAATTTTGACAAAGTCCCATTTAACTAGTTTTCCTTTCGGTTGCTTGTCCTTTTGGTGTCCCATCTAAGAAATCATTGTCTAATTCAAGGTCATGCAGATTTACTTCTATGTTTCTTTGTCCGGGTTTTATAGTTTTAGATCTTACATTTAGGTCTTTGATCTATTTTAAGTTTTTGTATATGGTGTGAACTAATTGTCCAACTTGATTCTTTTGCAGGTAGATATTCAGTTGCCCCTGGACCATTTGTTGAAAAAATTATCCTTTCCCCAATTAAATGGTCTTAGAATTCTTGCTGAAATGCATTACCCATACATGTATGGGTTTATTTCTAGATTCTCAGTTCTGATTTGTTGGTCTGTCGGCCTCTACCAGTGCTACATTATCCATTGTATAGTAGCACACTGTCTTGCTTTATAGTTAAGTTTGGAAATCAGGACAACTTTGTTCCTTTTCAAGATTGTTCTGGCTATTCAGGCTCCACTGAATTTCCATATGGATTTTAGAATCAACTTGTCATTTCTGAAGAAAAGGCAGTTAGAATTTTGATGGGGATGACACTGAATCTGTAGATAAATTTGGGAAATATTGCCATCTTAATATTGTCTTCTAACCCATGGAAAAATGGAATGTTTTCCCACTTATTTCAACCTTGAATTTTTTCCAACAATAGTTTGTAGTTGTCAATGTACAACCCTTGCACTTCTTTATTTGAATTTATTTCTAGGTATTTTATTCTTTTAGATTCTATTGTTAATGGAATTATTTTCTTAATTTCATTTCAATTTCATTGCTTCTTTCATTTTTAGACTTTAAGCGTAGATTTAAAAAATTCATGTCACTCCTCTGTACCTATAAGGAAAAGAAAAGTGAATTCAGTTGCAAAGAACTCCATATTCATAGTCAATCTCTTCTGAATATGAAGACAGACATTGGCTGTGTCTGTTCACAGTATCATTCTCTGTGCCAACAGTGAACCATTTCCTAACATAATCCAGGTATCCTGGAAATCAATACCTAGAAGTAGAGATCCTTCTGATTCTCTTTTACAGCTCTACAGCACCTCATTGTGTAACCATGTTAGACATTTAGATTTTCATCTTTTGCATTACTGTATGATAATCTTTATATTAAAAAATGTTCTCTAAGTATATATTCCCAAAGAATTGCAAACAAGACTCAAACAGATACTGGTGTGCCAATGTGTGCAGCAGCATTGTTTACAGTACTCAAAAGGTAGACACAACCCAAGTGTCCATACAGATAAATAGATAAACAAAAAGTAGTATAAACATACAGTGGAATACTGCTCAGCCATGAAAAAGGAATAAGGTTCTGATACATACTACAAAATGGATGGGCCTGAGAAAACATGCTAAGGGAAATAAAGCCAGATACAAAAAGGCAAATATTGTATGATTCCACTTGTAAGAATGATATATGATAGGCATATTCATTGACAGTAGATTGGAGTTTCCAGAGACTGGGAGTGAGGGGACAATGGATACTTATTGCTTAAATGGGTAGAAAATTTGTTTGGGGTAATGAAGATTTTTGGAAATAGTGGTGATGGTTGCACAATACTGTGGATGTAATTAATGCTACTGAATTGTACATTTAAGATATGAAATTTGGAAAGACCATCTAAAGCAGTTGAGTTCCAGGAGCATTTAATAAGAATTCCAGAAAGTTGATTCTGGCCTGAAATGGGTCAGTAAGCTTAAACATTAAATGGGTCCTTGAAACATCTGAATGTTTTGACCCTGAAAGAACACAATAAACATTTTAAATTGGAATTTAACAATTACTCTTCTGTATCTTTTTCTAATGTTGTTATATTTTCCTGTATTGTGCTTGTCAGCAAAACTATGAAGTTAACATAGCTAGTCATCTTTGGTATTTTACAAAGGAAAGGCTCAGAGAAGACGCCTTTCTTAAGGTCATACAGTTAAAAGACATAGGAGCTCTCTTGGGTCCCAACACTGTTCTTACGGAATCATGACTTGTTAATTATATAATTATTTAATGAGCATCTCCTATGTGCTCAGCACTGGGAATATAATAAAGAACACAAGAAATTCCAGGTCCTTTCTCAGTGTATGGTTTAGAAGAATGGAGAGCCCCACAATTACCATACAGTATAACTAGGTAGGTTAGAGTTCAAAGGACTGTAGGAACACTTCAGAGGGGCCATTTGAAACTATAGATAGCGTTCAGAAACACCTGCCGTCTGGTTCAGTTTAGACTTCTATAACTGTGTAAGCAAAACTTAAGCTTTTTATCTACTTTGGAAACCTGCTAATTTTCAAAGACCTCAGCCCTTCAGAGCCTCAAACCAGCCACTTCTAGCTGGTATTTGCAAACTTAACCAGCTTTGGAAAGAACTTGTGTTCCCCAGCTTTGAAAACAGATCTGCCAGTCTTCCTCACGGGCCTACTGGCGTCCAGGACGTGACAAAGTTCCTGAGGCAAGGTAGAAGCTGAATAAATGTTCAATAAGTGGGCTAAAGCTCTCCCAATCCAGCCCTCCTCCTGAACTGAAGCAGTTTTGCTTCTTTCTGCTGCATTACTTAACCTACACAGGGATTTCCTGGTATTTCTGTGGCCTGGGCATTGGTACTGTTAGTTTATTATCCTTTACCAAGTGAACATGAACATACTCTGGAAAAAATGGTAAAGTTTTTATTTTTGTCCTAAAACATGGTTATCTCAAACTTCTATAACTAGAAATGTTATGAGGAGCACACATAATCCTCTGGTAATGTTTTTTGAAGGATGGCATTGAAGTTATGGAAATATATAACTGGCTATGTTTGGAGTACTTTATAAAGTTATGTAAGTTTTTAGTTTTATAGGATCTTTTGGTAACATTCTTCAAGGTCAATTAAATATTTGTTATTTAATCTTAACTTTCAGGTAAAGAAGATACCCCCTCATTACTCGGTCTCTGTGGATCTCTAACATCAGTGGCAAGTTACAAATCTCTAACAAGTCTCAAATCTAATGACTACCTTGCAAGTCCCACAACAGAGATGACGAGTCCAGGCCTAACTCCATCCTGAAAATTTTATGTCAGAGCCAGAAGTTTTTATGTTGCAAATGTTCTATTTACATAAGTTTGACTGCTGGGAAAACCTTTGGAATTTTATATTGTTCTGGCACATGTCTGGAATTCTATTGCTTCTATTTGAGAATTCAGTCCACTCCATGTGCCCTTCTGAGAGAAAATGATCCTGCCATTTTAAGATTCTTATATTTGTCACTGAGGAAGTTTAAAAATGAATAAGCTTAAAAAACTTTTAAATATCCTCTAAATTAATAACCCATTGCAAATTGTGACGTAAATTTATTATTCAGCTGATTTTCATGTATTTAAATGTACCATAATTGCCGGAGACTGAGTTCAAGGTTTTATTCCAGAGACAAAGCTAAGTATTTTCTTTTACTTTTATTCAGTGATTATATTTTCTAAAAAATGACTTAATTTCATTTTTCATTCATTTCTTCCTAGGTTCTGATGTTTAAATGCCTTGTTTTTTGTATGAGGAGGAGGTTCTCAGCTGGTTTCGTAGTGGCTTACTCACTTTTTCCTTAATAGTTATCATTTGGTACAACATTCCATTAACATTTTATAAAATTTGTAGGAATGTATCTTTAGGCCATTACTAAAATTTGTCAGGGTCATAGGGAAAGTGTTTTACACCATTTTGGTAAAATGAATAAACTGTTTTCCCAAGATTTTCTTAAAAGGTTATTTAAAAATATCAAATATTCCTCAGTAGTTGGAAACATTTAAAAATGTAGAACAGATGTTGAAAAGTATTTTATTAGGAAAGACTTCGAGTCCATGTAAGGATTTGAGAACCTTCAAGTAAGGATCACTAGAGTCTTATCATACTCAACAATATGTATGACATCCAGTGCTGTTTTGTTCTCCCTTGTGTGCAACAATGAATCACGCCATGTTAATGTTAAAAACCGATGTTAATGTTCGAAATCCCTACACGTCTACAGGTAAAAAAAAAAAATTAGTTTCCTTTTAAAAAAAATTATGTGCTATAAAATCTTTTTGCAGTTTTGGGAATTTATAGATTTCATCCATCAAAATCCCACCATATTGAAAGAGAAAATGTCTGAAGTATATTTTCTATCGTAAGTACTATGAGGAAAACATGACCAGTTGTGCCAAAGAAGTTTTATACATTGTTTACATGAAGAGGACACAATACTAAATGGGGACTTCATATACTATTTTTGTTTATTAATAAAACATTACATTTAAACTCAGTAGCTTGACATGTAGGAACAGTACAACAATTTATCAGAGGAGGCAAGAGTGCTGAACATACTATATCATTCTTTGTATTAGAAATGTAGGAGTGTGGTGGTTCTCTGCAAGATTTAGGAGCTTTATTCTCATAATTTGGAATTTAAGATAATAAATAATAAGAATGCCAGTCTTATAGGGAAGTTCAAATGAAGTCATTTCAGGGACAAAGGAGGCCTGGAAGCCATTAAAATAAGTTATCCTAGAAGTACCAGAACATACTCAAGAGTTTTTACTCCTTTAGGTTAAGGCTTTAGTACTTGTAAAAATGCAAATATTCTTGAAAAATGGTACCTTTAACAATTTAGTGGTACCTCCTCTTAATTCTATACACCTTATTATGAGTGAGGTACCCGAAGCAATTATTAATGAGCATGGGAATGGAAGGAAGATAAAAAATGAGGACAGTGAAAATCCTGGGGGAGGGAGAAGGAAAATGGCTAAGGAGAAGAACTTGAAAATTCTTAGGTTGGCCTTAAGCTCTATTGCTGCCTTCCTAAAAAACGATCAGAATGTTCCAAATGCTTTATCCATGGTCCACTCTCAACTGATATTTATTGTTCCTCAGTAATTTTAAAAAATCATTGTTAAATTTTTTCCATACATTTTTATAATAGAGGAAGGAAATTCAAGATTCCATAATTGATCACATTTTCCAGATTTGTCTAATGCATACAGTAACTTGTGCATCTTAACATGCTGCTATATGCAGATTTAAACATGACATCTGAGGACCATGACTTTTCCTCCTTTCTTGGAGCTCCTGGTATAAAATTCATCTGCTAATGTGAATTCAGGTTTCTATACAGTTCATTTCACACTAGTTATACATGTAGCTAATGTTTGCATGAGGAAACAATGTATGTCTCAATCTTTAATTTTAGGTGGTGGTGTTTACTGTTTACACACCCTACCCAAAACAGAATGCTGAATTATATGCTAATAATTCTATGTGTATTTTGTTGCCTTGATGTACTATACTTGTTGCATGTATATTAAAAGTTTTGTACCATGCATTAGTGATTATATTTTTCCTTCAAGACAAGTTACTGGATTCAAGTTGTAACCTGAACTTTGTTTTAGCAACTACGGTAAGTGTATATTACTCAGCACTAAAATACTAATATGACAAAAAGTTTTGGAGAAATCTTTATTTCAACTCAAATACCTTTTATTTAAAAAAATAACATGATCTGCTTTATAATACATAGTATCTGTTGAAATGGTACAATACAGGTAGTGATTTTGGTAGTGCTAATAATATAATTATGTAAGAGCCATGTTTGTTTTCTCACCATAAAATGGAAACATCATCATCTTCCCAGCACCTGTGATGGCATCAAGGTGATGTCAGCATTGAATGAAATGATATAAACTAAGTTTTTATTTAAGTCATCTTTATTAGATTTACACACAAGTTTTCAAGTGATTAAAAGTGTGTCTCAAATTTACAACTTAGGGAAATTCTTTGTCAAAGTTCGTACTGTTAGGTAAGATCTCCAGTTTTGTTCAACAAATACGATGGATTACTTCTGAAATGTCACACAACTGCTTTGAACATCAGAGCTCTTAAATATTTTTTAATTGGTTCCCTTTGTTCTTCTGGAAGCAAAGCAGGTTCTATTTAGTTTTAGAATTAGTCCTTTTTAACTGATAGGAAGGGGCTGATAAAAATCACATCAATGTCCTTATGGTCCCTTTTCAAAGTCTATTCTGGTCCAAACCAATCCTTATTATGTAAGTCCCCATTTCCTATAGCACTGTTTATTTCTCTAAAACCCAAATGAAGCCAAAGTTTCACTACATAAAACTCAGCCTTATTACAGATGACACATTCTGGTGTGTGCTGTGCTCAACTATGCTACCTTCTTTTCTTTTCAGTTAAAATAATTGCTGGTCTTGGGGGGGGTTAAAAAAAAAAAAAACAAAAAAAAACAACCACTCTATAATTATTAAACCTGTACCAAAAATACTTGCTTGGTTTCCAGTTGCCTTCCTGTTTTTCCTTCCGGGGACTAAATTCCATTGCCTGATTGAGACTCCCACCTCCAGGTACGTTTAATTGTCTTAATCTTAAAAGCATTTCCTGACACTCCTCTCTGCCCCCAAGCTCAGTGGAGAAATCCTGTGTCCTCATCATCCCTTTCACTCCCTTTGCAGCCCTCTGTCAATCAGTAGCTCTACCTCTATTTATAGCCTGTATCTGAAGCACTTCTACTCTCACGTGCTTCTTAAACTGCCAACCTCGTAAAAAATCTGAGGAAATGTTAAATGATAGGTTAAAATTTATTTAAAAAGTTCATTTTGGAAAAAAATTAAAACCTGAAACACAAAACTTTCCCATATCCCTGGAATTCATGCTCCAGAAGGAGGGAAGAATTTAAAGGAGTCATGTAGTTAAATAAGCATAGCTAATAGTTTCCTAGAAATAAAAATTTATTTTAACTTCATATCTATTATTTCAAAAGTCAAATGTGTGTTGTTTGGAAGGTGGCAAACATGTAATACTTGAACTTCTTTTTAAAAAATGTACACACACCTAAGAAAGTAAATGTATTTGTTGGAAAACTTCACATAGATTGAAACCATTTGCTTTCAGAAACATTACCAAGAATATAATCTCTTGTCAAGTGCTTTTCAGTGGCTATTTTTTTGTTAAAATTAAAATTCAATTCAATTAATTAAAATTATATAAGTATAAAGTATAAATATATAAGTATAAAGAAAGCTTCAATTCACCCTTTTTATCCAGATACATGGCTGTAATATGTACTAGAAAAGCTACCAGGGAATTAAATTTATTTTAGATATAAATGGGAAGAATTTTCCATAAGTATAGTCTGTTTTGGGGGAGGGAGGGCAGTGGGAATTTCTCTACTGGTATTTCTATTAAGCTGAAATACATGACTGCTTCTTAATAATTATAAATTTAAATTTTTCTACCAGTTACCAAAAAGAAACATAACAGGACAAAAGTAAATTTAAATTTAATACCGTTAAGCAGCAGTGTTCAAGATAAACTTTCTTATATAAAGTACATCATTAACATAACTTTATTTGAAAATATTCAGCTTGAAGCACAGTGATAATTTTAAGAAAGCATAAAATATTTTAATGAAAATGTAAGTTAAAGTCAAACATTTATGATTTTATAGATATGAATGTTGCAAAACTTAAGATAAATGAACACAGGATAAAGTAAACAGAAGATTACATACAAACCCTATATATTTTATTTCTGATGAAACATATGAACTCTTTTCTACTAAAATATAAAATACATAATTCCTCTACCAACACTAGAGATCTGTCACCTACCTATACTATTCTATTTTAGGGGGAAAAAAAATACTTCACATTTCAAGGCATATACATAGACTGCAATAAAGTGCTTTTTCTTATGGGATATAGATCCTGAGAAAATTTTTTTAAAAAAATTATTTTTGTCCTGCCATTGTAGCTTTGTTTCATTCCTACAGCCACAAGCTACATTACTGAGGCATTAGCCTGTATTGACTAAAAGCTATTTCTTCAGGGAAACGGCTGCCTCTTTAGTCTCTTGATGTAGCATACTAACATGAGATGTGTAAAATCAAGGGACATTTTGGAAGTATTTTGTGGCTTATATTGTATTCATCTCAGTGTTGTTAGAAGAAGACAATACAAGTGACCTCAAGAGCTCCACAAACAGTGATACCTGAATTCCAAGATGGCTGAAACCCAAGGCCCTTCCCTGGCTGAAACATTATTTTTACCATGCTAAATATAATGTGGTTTTTTCCCACTGTACACCCAAGATTCACTGTGCCAAACATTTAAGACAATCAGTAAAGATGACTTCTCTCTTGCAGAAACAGTAGATAATACAGAGTTTTTAGTCACCAAAAATATTTTTATCACATTAAACAGTTACATTCTGGTTCATAAAGATAAAATAGCCATTACCTTTGGGTGAAGAAATCCTAATATGGGTGAAGCCTTAAAACGGCAATGGGAGGTATAAAACAAAAGCAAAACTTGAATTAAAGTATTTAATAGGTAATTAGGTAAACGTGAATAACGTTAAAGACTGCCATCTATTATGTACTTTGTTGGAATACTTAAGTATCTGTGTGCATGATTTAAGTGTGTATGAAGGAAGGGCATTTTTCTGCTAGACTCTGCACATCATTCAGCACACAATTCAAACTGTTCTGATCTATGTGACACATTTCCAGTGACATTATACCGAAATCTAGAATATCAAACTCTCCAAGAGATTTTCACTTTCAGTGCTAAGGAGTAATTTTTCTCTTCTTTACAGGAACACTTAATGATTGTGATTTCTGGAATACCTTTTTCAATATCTCAAAAATCAGCATAACAAAATTTATTTTAAAATTAGGGTTATGATTCAGAGGCAAAGTAGAAATTACTGCTCATTTAAATTATACGAAATACATAAAATCATTTTGAGATAATGGTGAAAGAGTTCTTGCCTAACAGTCTCCATCTTATTACTTGACTTTGTTATTTCCAGTTGAAACAGCATCACTAGTATTGCTGTCTTCGAGTATTTTGCTTCTGGAAAAAAGCCTTCCCAAATTCATAGGTACTGATCATAATGGCACAAGCAGGAGCAATTTTAATTAAACGGGGAATGAGGCCTGAAAAGAGAATAGAAAAAAATCAGTACAAATTTTACTTTATGTTTAAAAATTTTAAGTTTTAAAATGATTTTATTCATTTGACATAGCAAGAGAGCACAAGCAGGGGAAGGGACAGAGGGAGAAGCAGACTCCCCATGAGCTGGGAGCCGGGCATGGGACTCTATTCGGGGACCCTGGGATCATGACCTGAGCTGAAGGCAGATGCTTAACTGACTGAGCCACCCAAATGCCCCTAATATGTTGCTTTAACATCATCAATGTGTTTTCATAAATAGGGAATGTTTTCAATAATTTCCTGCTTAAGGTTAATTTAGGAAGATGACAGATGTCAACGTTATCATTTTATTCAACAATTTGGTAAAGCAAGTATTTTTACCTGTAAATAATCCTGCAAATCCATTCTTAGCAACAATATTCTTCATGATAGTCCAGGTTGACATAGGCAAAGGTATAGAAACTAAATGTTAAAATAAAGAAATGATACATTATAGATTACCATCTAATAAATTCTAATACACAAATACACATAAAAATGTTTATGGCCTTTGGTGTGTATAATCATTATAATAAGAACAAATCTATTTACCTAAAATTTACCCCAAACTTTAACAGCTGAAATCCTTAAAAAGAAAAATTAGAAAAAGATGATAACCTTAAGGTATATAGGACTGGATATAATCGAGGAGGAATATACAGACGGATTCTATGAATTAAGTTTCTTAAGCTTGGTAGTGGGTCATATCCTTTACACAATTTCCCTGCCTTAAACATCTTTCATAATGAAAAATTTAGAAGATGTGTAAAAATCTTCATGGGGTTCCCAAAGCCAAACAAGCCCTGATAACCATTTTTCATTACATTTTTATTGTCTACATTTTAAGAAGTGTTTTTTTCCTAAGAAGTTCTGAAAAGAATAGCTTGTTCTCCCTAGGGAGGTCTGTCTGCCTTTATTAAAACCTTTCTGAATAGATGTACCAGTCTTTTTTTTTTTTTTTTTTTTTTAAGATTATTTATTTGACAGAGGGCACAAGCCGGGGGAGCGGCAGGGAGAGGGAGCAGTAGACTCCCCTCTGAGCAGGGAGCCCGATGCAGGACTCAATCCCAGGACCCTGGGATCATAACCTGAGCCAAGGGCAGACATGTAACTGACTGAGCCACCCAGGTGCCCCTAGATGTGCCAGTCTTGATAAAAATTACATTAGTTTTGTCTCTTTCAAAGGGTAGATGAAGCCTTTTTTAAAATCAAAATTTTGTATTTTTATAAAATTTGATTAAAAAATAGTATTTCAAACTCTACAGTCACTAGAAGTACAGTTATAAAAGATGCACACACTTCACTTGGCATCTGCAACAGTTAATTAACAGTAACGTCTCTCTTATTTGCAACCATTTAAAAATCTGAAAGTAAAAAACTTTTTTTTAAAAACAACAAAGATGTCACTGAGATTTAAACATACAGCTACGAATAAGCTATTCATGCACGAAGTTTACTTATCTGCATTTTACACAACGATTCTAAGCAGCTGGCTTAAGTAGCCCACAGATTACTAGATGCAGTAGGTAAAAAAGTCTGCTAAGAAGCAGGCACACTACCGAATGAATACACCGAGGCTGTCAAAGTCTTGGTTTGCTACCAGCCGGATGAGGGCAAACACTGGTGCGGCGCCCTCGTTAGCGGCTCACAGCTGCATTCTAAGACTACGGCAGTCAACGTGAGCGTGGATGACAACAACTCTGAGTCATTCAGGAGGATTAAAGCATGTATTATTAAGCATGCCCAGGGGAAAAAAAGGAGAAGGCTAGAGAAAGAGAGCTTTCAAAAATGGCTTTTTAGAATTTTACCCTTAGTGGAATGGGTTCATTATTTCAAATCTCATTTAGAGAAATATCAGATTCTCTGTGAAGATAAATGGGGCTTTGCATTTATTTAGGAAGCCATATTATGATCAATATAAATACTACAAATATAAAGATAACAACTATAGCAATCCGACAGGAAGGATGCATTTTTGAAACCAAGAACAAAGTATTTATGAAAAAATATAACTTTCTAAAGTCAATGACCAAAATTTTATATTACAAGTCAACAACTTCATGTTTAAATTATTCCAATTAAATTTTGGAAACACCTAGTGAAAGAAAGGAAGCCAAGTAGCCAGGTATTTCTGATCTTGAAGGATTCATGCCCTAAAGTGGCCCCAATTGAAACAGCAGCACGCACTTACTGCAGAAGAGAATGGACGGAAAGCGTTGTAACTGAAGGTAAGCCTCATTCACACTCTAATGCAATCTCTGAAGTATCCTGCCAAGTTCCAACCCTCTAGAGTTATTCCTAGAAACACTCATTTACTGACCATCCACATTTATCAAATCTTAGCAACTATACAGCAAATATATTCCTTCTCAGTGTCCTCCTTCCTCTCTCCTGAGAGGTAACCTCTCTCCTGAGAGGTAACCACTCTCCTGAGAGGTAACCACTCTCTTGTGTTTCTTTTTTCCTTTACCTTTCTCATGCTTGTGTTTAAACTTTCACTACATCTGAAGACATCCATAAATAACATATACTCTTGCTTTTCATGCTCTTAAACTTTGTATAAATGCTAGCACACTGTACATTTGTAATGTGCTTTTAAGGATTATCTGTATTGCCAAGAGCAGGCGTATCTGATTTATTTTAATTGCTGTGTGTTATTGCATTACATGGATTATCACAGTTTACCTGCTTCCTGGCCAGGGCCTATTTCCGTGCTTTCTAACTTTTGAGATTAAGAATCCTTAAGTGAGTATCCTTGTACAGGTGAGACGTTTTTCTAGGGCACATACCGAAGGTGAAACTGCTTGTTCAAAGAGCCTTTTTGAGATTGCCAGATTATTTTCCAAACTTGGACTCTCACCTGCTGGGCAGGAGTGTTCCCACAGCTCCATGTTCTCCCCCAAAACCTGGCACAGATAAAATGTCCTCTTGCTGCCCTTCTGGTTGGCACTGTCCTCATGACTACTAAGACTGAGCTTTTCTTCACAAGTCTGTCACATATAACCATTTTTTAATGGTTTTAAAGTTTCTGTTGAAGTATTTTAAAATACTGAATATGCTCACAGAAAAAGAAGTTTAACTGGAACTGTCAAAAACCAGTGGATATGAGCCAGGTTTCAAAAGCTGAAAGGTGACATTAAATTTTTTTAAATTGTAAATGATGGACTCATAGTGAGGAAAAAGTTACCTCTATTATGAAATGTCGGGCTCACTACAACCTACTATGCTTCTTTTCCATTATATTATGAGGTGTTTGAGGGCCTGGAGACGGCCTCACTTGTCTGTAGAGACCAGCATGGTGCACTCGAATCAGGAGTCAGATAATGGATGGGAGACAGTGGAGGTGTGCTTCTACAGAGATAACATTCTTACAAGGAACGCAGCATCATTCTCTATGGAACACTTACTCTTCTTTTTGCTTAGAGATAATGGATTCGGTGTAGCTGAGCTAGAGTGGAGAAAGCCACTTCTAAAGGGAGCTGATTTACCTCTTCAGTGGGGATAAATAATATAAACATGAGAAAAAATATGGGCTGTTTATCATTCACATCAGAAGAAGCATGTCTTCCTAAATATGACTGGTTCGTAGCTGAAGCAGAGTAACCAGTGAAAGTGACCAACAATAATCATATAAAATTAAGACCTAAGGCTTAAAGATTTCTCCTTTGGGCTTTATTGGAGAAACAGTAGAAAAAAAACAGTGATAGAGAGTTGAGTCTCATGAAAGAAGATGCTTCCCTGATGCCCATCTCAAGGAGGATGTACAGTCATTATCATGTAGAGAACACGTGCAGAATACAAAAGTTCGAGCCCCACCGTAGATCTATTGAATGAGAGTCCACTGGGGGTGGTGCCCAGCTTCAGCTGTCATTAAAAAGCACCCCAGGTGACTCCAAAGATTACTGACCCAAGTAAGTGGCTCTCAAACCTTAGCATCAGAATCTAACCGTAGAGTTTCCTGTCTTCTCCCTCACTAACATCACTAACATATGGCTCATGGCCATAGTCATGAATCACACCACAGAGAATATTCCTACTACATTAAATACTTCATGTAACAGAGGAAACAGGAATTCTGATGATTTGGAAGAGAGAATAAAACAAAATAATTTTGAACTATCCATGGAGAACAGATAGGACTTAGGCAGCAAGTAGGCTCCCACCCAAAACGGAAGTTGAAAAACACTAATAAACTTTGTTGACTTCCCCAGGTTTTAATTAGCTCTATTATGAGAATGGACTAGGACTCTGGAAAATCAAGACAAAGTAGTCAATAATATTCATGAGACTCAGTTGTCTGTAAAGTGTTTCTTTCAACAATTATAGTACCTATTTTACTTGTATGCAGAATATTCTGGTGAGTTAGAACAATTTATTAACATTAGAATAGGTTAATCGATCACAGGATTCATATGACACCATTTTGTAATAGATAATTTCCAATGGGTTTGCCACACTTTTCTATAGATAATAAATAATGACAGAAGGACTCTAGTAGAAGCAACTAAGAGTACACTTGTTCTAGAAGTTACAATTACGAAGAGGTAAAAATAGGAGGAAAAAATGTATCAAAAGGAAGGGAAGCTCAAAAACATTAAGAAAAAGAATGAAATGTATACACATTGTAATGAAACAAAATACACCAAGAGAAAAAAGGGTTCCCACTAAATTCCTATCCTTCACCCTAATTTGTCTAGATTTATTTGAAATAATAGTTATATAGTATGTCATCTTCTCTTTAGCAGGCATGAGACTTAACTGATGGCAGGGAAAATATATAGATTTTTAAATTTCTTAAGTTTTGGAGGTGGTTGAGAGTATTTTTTTTCCTCTGGGCATTCCATTCTTTTTTTTTTTTTTTTTTAAGATTTTATTTATTTATTTGAGAGAGAGAGTATGAGAAGGGGGAGGGTCAGAGGGAGAAGCAAACTCCCTGCCAAGCAGGGAGCCCGATGCGGGACTTGATCCCAGGACTCCAGGATCATGACCCGAGCCGAAGGCAGTCGCTTAACCAACTGAGCCACCCAGGCGCCCTGGGCATTCCATTCTAATAGTATATTAGTTTCAGTCAAAGCAGCAGAGGAAAAAAAAATTCTTATTTTTCTTATTTAAACAGTCCTAGCTGGAAAGAAAAATAAAAACAACCATGGCATCTTGAGAAAATGTTTTAAATTAATTAAACTTACTTTTATGACTTTCATATATCCAAAGTTGAGTCTGCTTTTGTGTTTTTACTACATCAAATGGCAAAGTTGCAACAGCTGCAAACTGTCAAAAAGTAAAATTAATTTAAATCTACCTTTAAATTTTTTCTTTATATTTTTATATTCTTCTAAGTAGCATATTACTGAAGGACAAATACTGGGATCATAACTAAACTGAAACTTAAGATGAAGTCAGATACATTCAAAGAGTAGTTTTTATTAAAGAAAACAGATAACATGTCCTATGTATTTCTCCCACAATTTAGACGTAAATAGTCTCAAAAAAGTTCCCCTACTTTCCTGAGGTCACACAACTACTAGTGGGAGAGTCAGAATTACAACCAGACAGACCACTCAGACTCCAAAACCAGACTTCACAATTTCTGATGCTCCTGCAAGTCCTATTTTTCCTTTACTACACATGAAGGTATAATACGTATTTTAAAGCAGAATTTCTGAATTATGTAGTAAGCATATAAAAATTTTCAAATGTCAAAAAGAGAATTAAAAAATTAAATTTACACAAACAAATCCTTTTTTTAAATGGTTTTTTTTTTAAGTTTTTTTTAAATCTATTTGAGAGAGAGAGAGAGAGAAAGAAAGTATGAGCATAAGCAGGAGGAGCAGAGGGAGGAGATGCAGGCTTCCCATTGAGTAGGGAGCCTGACATGGGGCTGGATCCCATGACCCTGAGATCATGACCTGAGCCGAAGCTGATGCTTAACCAACTGAGCCACCCAGGTGCCATCTTTATGGGTTTCACCATATTTATCAAATACAGTTACAACTGTTCACAAATCACACTTTAAAAAACATCTCAAAATCAATCTGATTATTTTCATAATGACTTAAGCAAAGGTTTTTTTTTTTTTTTTTGAAGATTTTATTTATTTGTCAGAGAGAGAGAGGGAGAGAGAGCAAGCACAGGCAGACAGAATGGCAGGCAGAGGCAGAGGGAGAAGCAGGCTCCCTGATGAGCAAGGAGCCCGATGTGGGACTCGATCCCAGGATGCTGGGATCATGACCTGAGCCGAAGGCAGCTGCTTAACCAACTGAGCCACCCAGGTGTCCCGCAAAGAAGGTTTTTTGAAAGAATAGTTAAATTCCCTTAAGAATGTCTCTTAAGAAAGACAATTACCATATGATCTTCCTGATATGAGGAATTTGAGAGGCAACATGGGGGTTTGGGGGGTAGGAAAAGAATAAATGAAACAAGATGGGATCGGGAGGGAGACAAACCTAAGAGACTCTTAATCTCACAAAACAAATTGAGGGTTGCCGGGGGAAGGTGGGTAGGGAGAGTGTAGTTGGGTTATGGACACTGGGGAAGGTATGTGCTATGGTGAGTGCTGTGAAGTGTGTAAACCTGGCAATTCATTGACCTGTATCCCTGGGGCTAATAGGCTAATAATACAATATATGTTACTAAAAAAATTAAAAAAAAAAAAAAAAAGAATGTCTCATAATGGGGGCACCTGGGTGGCTCAGTAGGTTAAGTGTCTACATTTAGCTCAAGTCATGATCCCAGGATCCTAGGATAGAATCCTGCATCAGGTTCCTGGCTCAGCAGGGAGTCTGCTTCGTCCTCTCTCTGTGGTTCTACCCCTGCTTGTGTACTCTCTCTCCAACAAATAAACAAAATCTTTAAAAAGAAAAGAAAAGAAAAGAAAAGAATGTCTCATAATATCTGACTTAACAGCCATGCAAAGTAAAAACTTTTACTTCCCTGTTCCTAAAATGCTCCCTGAAATCACATTGTATTTCACCCCAACAATGCTGTTTCTTTTTTTTTAAAGATTCTTATTTATTTATTTGACAGAGATCACAAGTAGGCAGAGAGGCAGGCAGAGAGAGAGAGGAGGAAGCAGGCTCCCCGCTGAGCAGAGAGCCCAATGCGGGGCTCGATCCCAGGACTCTGGGATCGTGACCCGAGCCAAAGGCAGAGGCTTTAGCCCACTGAGCCACCCAGGCGCCCCGCCAACAATGCTGTTTTAAGCTTCTGAACTGAAATGAGTTTCAAAGATCTCAGATAAGGAAAAATAAACTACTATTTCTTTCTCTCCACAATCCAGCACATAGTAGCAAAAGGTAGTGACAAATGTTATATAAGCCTTTGACACTTTCTAAAATGATGCGGCTTAGGCTGTTCTGTTTTGTGACAGAAACCCTGAACATCACACTGATGTGCTTTTTCTGTCGCAGGGACAAGCTGTTCTTTGAAAACAGTCAAAAGGCAGTGATGCTTTCTAGATCATTAAAAACTTTTTAAATATAATTTTCTATGTTTAAGGAGAAATAGTGAAATAGAGAATTTTCTTTCCTATTACTGGAAAGCTGGGGCAACATCCTGAAGCCGTTATTCAACTTTTTAAAAAACTGTATTTATTTGAGAGAGAGCAAGAAGGCAGGGAGAGGGAAAAACAGTCTGCCCCCTGAGCAGGGAGCTGGATGGGACTCGATCCCAGGACTCTGGGATTATGACTTGAGCCAAAGGCAGACGCTTCACTGACTGAGCCACCCAGGCGCCCCACATTATTCAACTTTTAAAAAAGACATTAAACATTTATTTATAAGTACAAAATTAGTTTTGTAATTCAACTGTTATGAGTTTCTATATATAAGTAGTACTTGGTTTTTTTTCATTCACGTCACGCTGGATTGAGATACAAATGCAATACAGTTAAGTTACATTTAATCACCTCAAAAATAAGAAGGATAATGAAAACATTTTGCTGGTGTTTAACTACTTAAATTACTCAGAAAGTCACTGCTCTTTTGTCTCCACAGGCTTATAAACCGCAAGGTTAATCTGAGAGACTCCAGGCGTGGGAGCACTAGTCTAAGTTCTGAACTCAATCACAGTGGCTTCCTTAGCCCAGGGTTTCTGGTACAATTATTCCAGTATTTTCCTGCAGGTTTCTATCCCTTCACTATGTTCCTTCACTCTTGTTTTCATTTGGTTCTAGTAGGTCAGCATCTCACTCTAGGTCATTACAAATTAATTTTGTAAGTTTGTGGAGATAAGAAAACTCTGTGGTCAAGATCATGATGATACGGATCTGCATAAAAGACCACCGCACACAGCTTTGCATTGTGTGGAGTGGGTACAGTGAACTCTCTACTACCTAAAAATAGTCATTTGAGATTCCTCCCTTCTGATTCTAATTTCTGTTAAGATTCTTTTAAGAAATACTTAGCCAAAATGTTCCCAAAGAAACAGGAATTAGCAGCAGAGGATGAAATTACTTCTACTCAGTCTGATTATACATATGAAATGACACTCCATGAAATATTACCTAACCAGGTCTACTGGTATTAATTTAATGAAAAAAATAGACACATACTTGGTAAATAATAAAGATTAATTAAAATATTGTAACTATAATGATCTAACAAATAAAAAAATTTTCAAATAAAACGTAATAATTTATTTGTAATATAATAAAAACATAGACACAAAATGCATTTTAAAATATTTAGTGGCTAGGGGTGCCTGGGTGGCTCAGTCAGTGAAGCATCTGCCTTTAGCTCAGGTCATGATTACAGGGTCCTGGGATCAAGCCCCGCGCTGGGCTCCTTGCTCAGTGGGGAGTCTGCTTCTCCCTTTCCCCCTCCCCCAACTCATGCTTGTTCTCTCTCTCCCACTCTGAAATAAATAAACTCTTTAAAAAATAAAATAAATAAAATATTTAGTGGCTAATAAATTATTTCCTCAAAACAGGATAGTCAATACTTAGAAAATTTTTAAAGCACTGCAGCCAAAATGTGGTATCTCAATAGATATGAAATGCTATTAATCTTTCATTCTGTTTTAATAAGACAATTATCATTATTCTGGAATATTAACAAGAAAAGAATATCAACTTACAGAACCAGACAATGCCCCTGAAGTAAAGTTGATCATAAATGTTGGTTCATATAAACCAGATTTTGCACAGAACCACTTCTTTAAAACTTCATAGTTATACCAGTACATTGCTATAAAAACAGAAAATGAAATGACATAATTTAGAAGTGAAATGTGGACTTTAAATATATAAGGCTAAACAGTAAACAAAAAGGGAACGTCTAACCCTGATACACCCTACTTTCTGCTTGGACACACATACTAGGTGAGATTGAAAAAAAGAAAACAAAAGGGAACCAAGTTTTCAGAAATACTCTAGCAGTCTTATAAACAAAAACCCCTCTATACAACAGTAAAGTAGGACTTTAATTCCAAAACCTGACAAGGACAGTAGGAGAAAGGACAACTACAGTTTAATCTCATTCATTAACACAGGCATAAAAATTCTTTAAAAAAAAAAAAAGGAACCAAACCCAGAAGTATTTCATAGAAGATTGCATACTATGACTAAATTGGGTTATCAAAAGAGGAATGCAAAGGTAGTAAATGTAACAAACCCTTTAAAAGCCAAACACCAGGGTACCTGGGTGGCTCAGTGGGTTAAAGCCTCTGCCTTTAGCTCAGGTCATGATCCCAGGGTCCTGGGATCAAGCCCCACATCGGACTCTCTGCTCAGCGGGGAGCCTGCTTCCCCTTCTCTCTCTCTCTGCCTGCCTCTCTGCCTACTTGTGATCTCTGTCTGTCAAATAAATAAATAAAATCTTTGAAAAAAAAATAAATGCCAAACACCACATTAAAAGAACTATTGGATCATCTAAAACTGATGGAAAAGCATTTCATAAAATTCAACCCATTTTCACTTTTAAAGCAAAGCAATTTCTTGAAAACCTTGGGATAAAAGGAAATTAATTAATTAATTTATTTATTTATTTATTTTTAAAAAAGGAATTTGTTTATTGAGAGCAAGAGGATGCAAACAATATAAAAATCAAAAGCTTATCTGACTTTTCTTTCTCTGCTTCTCAAATGGGGGTTGGATTTTATTTGTACATTTTCTGAGGGTCCCCAGCTGCCAATGGAATCCTTTATACAGGGGGAAGCTGTGGGACAGATTCCTTAAGAGACCCTTCGGGAGAAGGAAATTTCTTTATCTAGAAAAAGAATATACATCAAGAACACTTAACAAAAGTAACTGATGGTGAAACAACAGAATTATTTCCTTTAGAATGAGAAAAATGATAGGGATGCAACATCATTGCTATTATTCAAAACTGTCATAGAGAGCATAGTTAGAAAAAAAAAAAGCTCTGTTGATTAAAAATGAAGAGACAGAACAGTTACAATTTACATATGTATGTCTATATAGAAAATCCAAAAGATAGGCAAAGTGAAATAATAGTCTTAAAAGTAGCTGAATATTATATACAATCTAACATAGGCAAATTAATTTTAACACTGCCTAAGATTTGGAATTTTTATTTTAATAGAGCTTTTAAAATAGCTACCAAAGTTGGAAGTGGGTAAAACTATAAATAAATCTTAAAAAAAGGGGTTATATGTAATATTTATGGAGAAAAATTTAAAATTCTACTAACACACTTTAAAGAAGAATTCTATAATAGAGAGAGATGACATTCCTAAGAGGAAAAATAAGGTACCAAGATTTTTAATAATGCACTAGTAATTTAGACAACACTGCATTATCAGAGCCTGTGCTGATAGAGGGAACAGATACATGCACACATGAAGCTCTGATGTGACAGGTGACAGTGCAAATCGCTGGAGCAAGTATGGTGTATCAATAAATGATGCTGGGATAACCATCTAGCCATATGAGGGGGGAATAAAGCTGAATATTTATCTCAGTTCGTAAGTGAAAATCATTTATGGATAAATGAATGGCCAAAGAAACAGTGCTCAACCTCATTAATAAATATAAGTTAAAGTGAGATACCACTTTAAATTACTACAGAAACAAAACTTAAGAACTTTGACACTAAAAGTACTGATGAGGGTATGAAATGAAGGAACAGGAAGCTGGTAGATGTACTGATCTATACAATCACTTTAGAAAAGAACCTGACATGTAATAATTAAAATGTAAATACTTATATGAACTAGCAAATCGAATACTAGAGAAATCCTTGTATGTGTCCACCAAGAATCTGTTAAATATATTCAAAATAGCACTTACTTGTTTACTAATAAACAAGAGTGAAAATGAAAACAAAAAAGTTTCACATAAAAATAAAAACGAGTCTTAAGATTTTTTAGTAACATAAGCATTTTTTAAAGCTCAAAAATAGGCAAAATTAAGTAACATATTGTTTGGCAATAACATATGTGGTAAAACTATTTTTTAAAAATCAAATGAATAATATAATCCAGTATAGTGGTTACCATTGGAGATGTGACAGTGGAGGTGAATATATGTGGTTTCATGATTTAAAAAACTACAGTGTTATAGTTCAGAGACTGAATGGTGACTTCACAAGTGTTCATTTTATTAGAATACTTCATAATGTATACTACATTATTTCTTATGTATCAAACACCAAATAATTAAAGACAAATAATTGGCCTAGGAATCTGTATTTTTAAATCGTATACCTAAACACAAAAGGCTGAAGAGAAATACTAACGGAAAGGGCAAGATGCATAGATGCATAGAGATGTGAAGAGAGCACAAGAAAAGGATTAATTGCAGGGAAAAAGAAGGAGGAACTTTGAAGCATGCACATTTTATAAGCTATTTGTTAGTTTTGCACTTCTTTTTCATGATTTTCTCCCTCTCCACAATTCAATAATTAGCACAATCTCCTATCCGATTTATAATAGTGTTTAAGTAGAAGTCAACATAATTCACAAGTGCTCTTAAACATATTTTATATTTTGATTTGTAGTAGTTCACTTACCTTAGTAATTATTGCACTTAGGGTAATGTTAAAGGTAGTCTGTTTTAGCTAATGTGAATATAATAGTATCTTTAAAAAAAAAAAATGAAACAGAAGGAAAACAGAAAGTCAGGCTTGAATTAGAAACTACTCATCCAATAAAGACTCATGATGGTTAATCCTAGGTTTATTTTATAATAATTTAAAATTTTAATTTCCGGCTAGTTCAATTTAATAAAATACAGAAAATCTGTAAATTGTATATGCGGATTCTACTGAACAGATGATTTAGAGGAGATTTTCTCCTGGAAAAAGAAATAGCCAGGTAGTCTTATACTTTATTTTTCAAATTTCCAAAGTATAAAGTATCTAGTACATAAATAGTTTAATATTCATCAAATGAGTTCCCTGCAGTCATGTACAAGTTTGTAATAATTTTAAATTACAAATCCATGGATTTGATAGGATTCCATCAGCTTACTGTATTTTGTAAAGTGAAACTTCTTATTGAAATAAATGAAGAGTGGGATAATGGAATAATTGAACTTGGAAATGCACCCATACTGTTACTGAAGAACTTTTTAGCTCTGTGACATTGATCAAACAAATTAACCTCTCTGTGGCTCTTATAACAAACTGGTAACAGAAATATTTCCTATCCCATAACATTATTATAAAATTTTTAAAATTAAGAAACCTATTGGGTACTTAGTGAAAGCAAGGAAAAAGTGTTCTCTATCATGCAACAAACATTTGCTTATAAAACTCAAAATTAGTGTATTAGTGTATTAATACATTGTAATTAGAATATTTGTATTATATCTTATACAGCATTATAGGTAAGCTAATATTAGTGGAGAAGAATTAATCATGTATACTTCACATTAAATATATCCAATTGAAATATTAAAACAAAAATAGTTTATATAAATAAAACTATTACCAAAAAAAAAAAAAAAAAAAAAAAAAAAAAAAAACTAATACCAAAAAAAAAAAAAAGAAAAAGACACATAATGATCTGAGAGCCCAACATTGAACTAGGAGTTGGTGGTCACTGAAGAAGATAACTTACCTTTAGCCTAAAAGGACTTGAAATTTACTTAATTTAAAAGTGATATATATAATGAACCATTGAACACTATATCAAAAACTAATGATGTATAATATGTTGGCTAATTGAAGTAAATAAAAAAAAAAATAGAAGTGATATATGCATAAGACACCACCACCTAAAATTTAACAGATACTAAGATAAATCCTACCTGAGAATGGTACATCTCTAAGAACAGTAGGAGCCCAGCCCCTCCAAAGGGAAATCCAACCATCTTCAGACACCTTCTTGCTGACAAATTGATGCAATTCTTTGTAAGAAAACTTCTTAGATTGCATCTTGGTTCTAATCAATTCTAATGGACTTATCACAGTTACTGCACCAACTAATACAAATAAGCAAATATAAGAAAACAAAAACAAAGCCATGTACTACACAAACACACATGCAAAAATATTTCATGCATTTTATATAAATAACTTTCATTCTGAAATGTCTGCAAACTTTAAAATCAAATATCTAATGATGCCAACATGTTGGTGCACATTTTTTTTCCTTGATAAAGATATTTCTTAAAAGCCTGTTTTCAGGGGCGCCTGGGTGGCTCAGTGGGTTAAACCTCTGCCTCCGGCTCAGGTCATGATCCCGGGGTCCTGGGATGGAGCCCCACATCAGGCTCTCTGTTCAGCGGGGAGCCTGCTTTCCCCTCTCCCTCTCTTGCCTGCCTCTCTGCCTACTTGTGATCTCTCTCTCTGTCAAATAAACAAATAAAATCTTAAAAAAAAAAAAAAAGCCTGTTTTCATATAACTCCCTCTCTAGTTTCAACTCTTTTTTAAGATCTTATTATATTTTTTAGTAATCTCTACACCCAACATGGGGCTCAAACTCACAACCCCAAAATCAAGAGTCATGTTCTCCACTGAGCCAACCAGGTATCCTTGGTTTCAACTCTTTCATGAGCGGTTCCAGAAATATTACACATCAATTAAACTACTACTCCCGCAGCACAGAGAAAGGTATCTTTCTGCACAGGTTAAATCTCCTTCTGATTAAACTCTGAATCCCAGAGTCTATAAAGGAAAATGATTCAAGACTTGGGCATCAATATGACATCAACTTGACATCTGATGTCATTCTAAAATCTAGAATCTAAAGTCTAAACTCTCTGTCCAAGATTCAACAGGGATGGGTTGATCACATCTTATTCTGATAGCAATCACTACACACTATATGACTTCTAGAGTATAGATATTAACAAATTAGTACAAACTACAATACTCTGCATTTTATACAAAATTATCTGTGACTGTCAAAATTTTAAAAGAAGCTTTAAACAGAAATCAAAATGAAAATATAGTAAGTTTATTACTTACATCTGGCAACAATTCCAGCAATAATTGGTATATGACTTTCATTTTCTCCTAATTTTGATCTCAGAAGAGCAGATAATTGATCATAGCAGGTAAAATAAATAACTGTGGCAGGAACTGCCATAACTCTGTTTGAAACACACCAACAAAAAGATTTATACAAAACTGTCACATGGCTTAAATGTATTATTACTAAATATAAGCTAAAATCTTTATATATAAGCTGAAAACCGTAATGAACCGGCCAACGAGATTGATTTTTCTTTTACCTTAAAATTATTAGTGTTTAACTTAGCAGGCAACAAAAAGATGTACAATAGGTATCTGCCCTACAGAAGTTTAGATTTTAGTTGTGAAGATAAGTCACAGAGCACTTGCTCAGGTCATAAATAGTAAAAGACTAAAAAGGACACTCCTCTACCTCCTTGATTTGTTCTATAGTTTCTGGTCTCCCAAGAATCTTCCTTCCCAATTACATTCACTGTAACATGAAAATCCCTGAAGTAAAAAATACAAGAACATTCGTAAAATATTTTTGAACTACGGACCAGTATCATACCTGCTTGTATCTAGAAATAAATTACAATTAATGTTGCAGGATTATATATATGTAGCTTTGAAGAAATTCCAATGACATATTCTTGCAAATGAAATTATCAAAAGGGAATTATTATTTTTTAAAAGATTTTATTTATTTGACAGACAGAGATCACAAGTAGGCAGAGAGGCAGGCAGAGAGAGGAAGAAGCAGGATCTCCGTTGAGCAAAGAGCCCAATGCGGGGCTCAATCCTAGGACCTTGGGATCATGACCTGAGCCCAAGGCAGAGGCTTTAACCCACTGAGCCACCCAGGCGCCTCTCAAAAGGGTTAATAAAATCAAACACAAAGTTGCAGGTACTCTCATGTTACATGTATTAACATAACAAGAAACCAGTTTACATTTATGGTCTAAGGGACATTCACAGACCATACATTGAAATGTCTAATGTTCCATAGTGAAGTTTGATAATGAGAATTTAGAAATAGAACAGACTGCTGGTCTGGGATTAGCCACTAACTTTATAACCTTAGGCACTTTTTAAAATGTATGCATTAGGGGCACCTGGGTGGCTCAGTCATTAAGCATCTGCCTTCAGCTCATGTCATGATCCCAGGGTCCTGAAATGGAACCCCGTGAGAGGCTCCCGGCTCAGCGGGAAGCCTGCTTCTCCCTCTCCCACTCCCCCTGCTCATGTTCCCTCTCTCACTCTCTCTCAGTCAAATAAGTAAAATTTTAAATAAAATGGATGAAAGAAAAAAAGAAAGTATGCCTGAAAGTGACTAATTCACTCCACCAAAAAAGATACATTAAAAAGAAATGAAGGAAAAAAATGTATTACTTGGGATTTTTACATTTAGCCTTACTAGTTTATCATATTAACTCAAACAATAGCTAGTTAGTAGAGAATTAAGATTATCCAGAAAAGGGAAAGTATGCATATCACAGTATCTTTTATTATAAAAGCCAAATAACACCAAGTTCTTAATTGCTGAAAATGAAAAAAAAAAATTATGCTTGTGCACCAAAGACTGACCACAGCAGGCCTAGTTGCTCGTCTTCTTTATATTCAGGAGCGCCTTTTGCATGTTTTACCTTTGGTCAATTCCAAGGAATGCAGCCCTTGGAATATTCCCTATAATAAGGTATTTTCGATATGTCTGGAGCACAAAATCAACTTGTCTAGGTTGTTTTGTACAAACGATGTGGCTTTTGGCAAACATTTGCTTTCTTTCTGGGGGTCTGGGTTTTGGTAATCGTGATTACAAAGAAAGAACTTGCCTGCCATCAATCCCCAATATAAGCCCCAGACTCTGTCATTCAAACACGTTTTCAGGTAGAAACACTTTGCATATGTCACTTTAATTCACTGCTGGAAGAATAAGCCTGTCCTATGGGATATCCCCAGGGAAGGCTCTGGAAGTCTTATGCCTGCCTGGTCAGCTATTGTTGTGTCTTTGCCCTTCCTGATTCTGCTTTGTACATGAGTATAACCTTCTTTAGGTCCTCTGAGTCTTTCAAACAAATCATCAAATGTGTGGGTGGTTGTGGGACTCACAAAACAATGCTTCAGAAAATGAAAAAGCCCCAATATTACAAATGTACAATTTTATCCAACTCTGCCAATTATAAGGCAAAACAAAACAGCAACCATTATTTAGTGAGAAAATACTAAATCGCAACTTACAAGGTAGGGGGAAGGCCACTCCACAGGGATTTAATGCCCTCATTTCGAACAATTTTCAAAAAGGCATCCTAAAATTATAATAGGAAAAAGTAGTCAAAATATATCCCTGAACCTGATATATAAACTTTTTGATAAATAATTGGTACTTCTATTCTTTCAAGCAAATATTTTCAGAATATGAGCTTCTCAGATTCATGTTATACCCATTCTTTTTAAAAAAAAAAATTAATGGAATTTTCCTCAAGTTTTAAATATAAGTAAAACATTTCTGAATGATACTTTTTGCTTACAGAATGAAATTTATGTTACTCAGCTACAGAGTAATCTACTTAGGGCTTAGATGCCTAGTTTTAAAAGATTATTATAAAAAGGAAATTGAGTAATGGCAGAGAACTGGTCACATTAACTCTCCTGAACAACTACAGAGTCTGGGAAAATATTATTTAAACCCAGTACTTGAAATCTCTGGAAAGGAATCAAACTGCAGGTAAAAATCAGTAGGAAGTCTGTTGTTAAAAGACAAACAGCAATGAGTGAGATTTGCAAATTTGCAGCTTTTTTGCCTATAAAAGTGGCAAAGAACAGCACATTTACTTGCTTGAGATGGCAGATACAGAATTCGGGTTGACAGCATATTCAGAAACTTAGGTAGGAAAAGGAGGCTCTACAGAAACCATAAGCCTCCAAGTTTGCATACAAAATCAGCCACCAAACTTGGCTCACCAATAAATTATGCAATCCCAGAGCATGACAACAAAGTCCTGCTCACCCCTCACCCCAACCCCCCCATAAGACATCAGCTAAAGGCTGAGTGGAAATTTCAGCTGCAAACCAACACAGAGGAGCCTGACTTTGGAGTGTGAATCCAGCCAAAGTTAACTCCTCCTAGAACAAAATGGACTCTTTAGAAGAATATAAAACAAATCCAGAGTTTTAAGAATGTATCGTTCATAATGTCCACTATATAATCAAAATTCCTAAAACATAAAAAGAACAAGAAAATTAAAAAAAAGTAGTCAACAGAAACCAACACTGAAATTTCAGATGATACAATTAGCAAACAAGAACTCTAAAACAGCTATTAAAAATATATTCAAAAACTTAAAAGATGATATGTAGCTAGTGAAGGAACAAATGTGGCATTTCAGCACAGAAACAGTTACCATAAAAAACAGCCAAATGAAAATTCTAAACCTGAAATGAAAAATTCACTAAGTGGGCTTAGCAGCAGAAAGGAAACAGCAAGTAGAGTCACTGAACGTAAACACAGATCTTCAGTCTGAAGGAGGAGGGGGAAAAGAATGAGGAAAAATGTAGACGCTCAGGGACCTGATGGGAAACATCAAGTGGTAAAACAGATTTATTTGGAATCATAGAGGAAAAGAGAGAGAACAGGATAGGAAATAAAGGCCCAAAAACTCGCCCAAATATGTGCAAGACATCAATTTACAGAGCAAATCAGAAAAGATCCCAAGCAAAATAAAAACAGACAATGAAAACAGAAAAAGAAAAGCAAAATGGCAAAACACATCCAGAGAACAGATGGTACAAACGAAGGCTAACTTCTTATTAGACGTAGGGAAGGTCACAAGATAATACAATGAATGACATGTTTAAGTTGCAGAATTTTGTATGCTGCCAAAACAGGTTTCAAAATGTATGGCAAAGACATTTCAGTACAACAAAAACTGAGAGAAAAACTGCCAAAATATCTGCATGAAAGAAATGCTGAAAAAAAGTTCTTCAGGAAAAAGGGCCATGATGCCAAATAGCAACTAAGATCTTCAAAAAAGGAAGGAAGTAAAGAAGAAATGGTAAATATACAGTTATATATGAAAAATTTATTTTCCCCCTTTCTCCTTTTAACTATTTTGAAAATATAAGACTCTTTAAATAAAAAATTCTAACAGTGAGTTGTAGAATTTGTAATGTACAAAGATGTACTATACATGCAGCCACAGCACAAAGAAAGAGGAAAGAATGAATCCTGTCAAGAACCATGAGGGGCCTAAGTACATGTACTCTACTTGAAAATTAACAAGTTAGCCTGCCATACTATCATGAGAGCTGATGGAAGACAAGAATCTCTGGCTTAAGAGGTAAAGGACAGTTTATTACTCACAGGAAGAGCAACAGCCACAGTATCAGCATTTTCGTACCCATTTCCTGAGCCCCAATTTCCACAGGACTACATGACGAAGGCCGGATGACATCAACACACAGTGGCCTTTATTACAGCAGGGGAAATCTGACCTGAGGGGACCCAAATCCTCTGTAATGGGCAGAGGATACCTTCCCTTTGCTCTAGAGGGAGACACTGTATCTTCCAAGGTTATTCACTATACAAACATCCTTGAAAAGATGGTAAGGAACGTATTAAGGGCAGTCAGCACCTTGTTCCCAAGATATGTAGAAACATGAAAGACTTGGAGAACTGTCTCCCTAGATATTGGAACAGAGAAATCAATGTAATATTATTATAATTCAACTAATTATAAAGAAGGCAAGAAAGCAAAAAACCAAAGAACAAAATAGGGACAAAATAGCAAAAAATATATAAAATAAGATAGACTGACACCCAACCATGTTAGGAAGTCCTTTAAAGGTAAGTACTAAGTTTTCCAATTAAAAATCAGAGATTGTCAGAGAAGGGGCTTAAAAAAAAAACCAAGGCCCAGCTCTGTTGTCTTGAAGTAAAAGGATAGAAAAAGAAACACCTTATAAACAGTATGAGAAAGCTGGAGTGGCTGTTTTACTATTAGACAAAAGAGGCCAAGATAATGAGTATTACCAGTGATAAAAAGAAAGACATTTCATTAAAATAAAAATGTATCAGAAAAACATATCAAGTATAAATGTGTATGTCCCTAAAACAGGGCTTCAAAACCCATGAAGCAAACCTGAGAGAACTCAAAGCGAAAAGAAACAAACCATCAATCATAATTGAAGATTTTTATATCCTCTTTCAGTGCTGACAGAATTGAAGAAAAAAATCAGTAAGAACTTAGGAGATCTAAATAAAACATCAGCCATCCTGACCTGATGGTTTACAGGACACTATGCCCAACAATTGCAGAATATAGGTTTTAAAGGGGACATAAAATATTCACCAAGACAGATCATATGTAGGACCATTAAGCAAGATTCAGTAAATTTCAAAAATCTGTAAATTTATAGAGTATATTCCTCTGACTGGAATAAAATTAGAAATCAGAAACAACAGGATTCTATAAAATATCCAATTATTAATAAATTAAATATTACACTTCTAAATAACCATAGCAAAAAAAGAAATTACAGGGAAATAAGAAAATATTTCAACTGACTGGTTGAAATTGAAATTGGGATACATCAAGTTTAGTGCCCTGAAGGACACAGTGGCCACTTCTGTCCTCATGATAAGAAAAAAGCTCAACTGAAAAACTAACAACTGCTCTAAGATTTATAAAATAACTGAAGTCACAGAGCAAACTGCTACCCTGAAAGCTGGATTAATAGATACAGAGACTCACAGCTTACTTGAGTGGAAGCCTGCAGTTAGAACCAATTTTAATAACTACACTTTATAAATCACAATTGGCTGAAAGGTCAGGATATATACACTTGAGGATCAAAAACTGAAGGGGGCCCCACACTCTCATGAATTTTAGCTCTATGAGTCCTACCAGATTCTCACTGTGAAGATTAGGGAAAAATCTCCTCCTGCTTCTGGCAACAGAAGGAGAAATGTACCAGTTTTGAAATATACCCCAAACTTGGATTCTCCTTCATAAAGCCTATACTCAAGGTAAAATATATTATCAGAGCCTAAACCACTGCAGTTTTACCAAAATCTAACCAACCTGGGGTAAGGGAAGCACCCAACTCATTTTCCTTAAGAAAATGAGTTGTCCTAGAACTAGTCCTAGAACTACACACTATTTCTCTTCCTGCAGACCTTATCACCACATCTACAGGGCTCTTGTAGAACAACAGGGGATCATAGCTTTGACAGAACCACAAGACTCAGACTCTGAGCAGTCTCTAGGGAAATTCAAAGATAACAGGCAAGACAAAAAAGAGGACACTGGAGGGAATTTTGTTCTCTGACAACAAAGCTACAACCAGCAGTAAACACAGCCTTACTTCTAATCAGATAAACCTATCACCTGACAATAAACCTGTACTGACCTCAGTTTTTTTTTAACCCAATACAACATGTGTGGCTTTCAACAAAAGAAATTACAGAGTATGCTGAAAGACAAAAAACAGATCTGAAGAGACAGAGCAAGCAACAGAACCAGACTCATATATGGCAGAGATTCTGGAATTCTCAGACTGGGAATCTAAAATAACTAAGATGAATATGGCAAGCATTCTGCTGGTAGTGTCAGAGGAGCAGAGGAGGTACAGTGAGGGCTTAGGGCTTTCACCCTCACCCATGAGGAATGAGATCACCCCACCAGTGTCAGTGCAAACTATAAGGGAAGCCAGAACTCCTCTCTGCTCTCAGTGTGTTTGGGCAGCTATAACCATCCACCTTACAAACAACAGAAATTTATTTCCAACATTCTGGAGGCTGGAAGTTCCAGATCAGGGTACCAGCTAGATCAGAGGGACCCTCTTCCAGGTCTCTGATTTCTTATTGTATCCTCACATAGTTGAAGGGCAAGGGCACTTGGGGACTCTTTTACAAGGTCATTAACTCCTTAGGTCCCTGCCTTCATGACCTCATCAACTTCAGCTCCACTCCTAATACCATCACTTCAGGCATTAGGATTTCAACATATGAATTTTGGGCAGACTTCAACATTCAGATCATCGCACCCGTCCAACAGTAAAGAGGTCTTCCACAGCACGGTCGGTCTGTGGATGCTAAGTAAGGAACTTGAACTTCCAGCTATACCCAGCACTAACAAGGTAGAACCCCTTTCCTCTGAGTTAAGTGTCAAAAAAACCAGTTAAAATATAATGTTTAAATGAAATTCACAATATAATACACAAAATTTCCTGGTTTCAATAAAAAAAATCATTTGTCATTCTAAGAACCAAGAAGATGTCAAACTAAAATGAAAAAAGACAATAGATGCCAACAATGAGATAAGAATATTATAATTATCTGACATAGATTTTAAAGTGGTCAACATAAAAATCACTGAATGCAGGCACCTGGGTGGCTCAGTGGGTTAAAGCCTCTGCCTTCAGCTCAGGTCATGATCTCAGGGTCCTGGGATGGAGCCCTGCATCGGGCTCTCTGCTCAGCAGGGAGCCTGCTTCCTCCCTCTCTCTCTGCCTGCCTCTCTGCCTACTTGTGATCTCTGTCAAATAAATAAATAAAATCTTTAAAAAAAAAAAAAAGAAATCATTAAAAAAAATCACTGAATGATCATTTATGAACACATCCAAAACAAAAAATAAGACTCAGCAAAGAAATATACGCACCAAAACTACATGAAATTCTAAAAAATGTTCAAGTAATGCATAGAAGGGAAGACAAATAAAACAGCAAGAGAAAACATAGAGAAGGGGTGCTTAGGTGGCTCAGTCAGTTAGGTACCTGCCTTTGGCTCAGGTCATGATCCTGGGGTCCTGGGATCAAGCCCCAAGTTATTCCCTGCTCAGCATGGAGTCTGCTTATCCCTCTCCCTCTAACCCTCCCCCTACTCATACTTTCTCTCACTTACTCCTTCTCTCTTAAATAAGTAAAATCTAAAAAAACAAACAAAACAAAACACCCCTAAAGGAAATGTCAGGCTGTTCACAATGAGACAACAGGCCCCAAATGGAGTCACTTATGCTAACCCCACATCAGCACACTGACAATACCTAAGCTAAATGCAGTTTCTGCCTCTAGCAAGAACGTGACCTTTAATCCGTCAATGTGTAATTACCAAGTTAGCACTAGTGAGGTAATATGTCTGAGAGAGTCCCAACCGCCCTCAGAGTAAGGTGACATTGCCTGTAACAATCTATTCTTTATTAGAGTAATAACTTTCTAGCCCCATCTTCTTCTGCCTATAAAAGTCTTCTGTCTATAAAGTCTTCTCAGAGATCCTTTCTACTTGCTAGATGCAATGCTGCTCAAATCATGAATTGTTGAATAAAGCCAATTAGATCTTCAAATTTACTCAGCTGAATTTTGTTTTCTAACAAGGGTTAAGTTCTACAGTATCTGTAACTCTATGAAATATAGTTCAGATACATCAACTAAAAGATAAAAACTGACAGAATAGTTTAAAAAAACGACTTAATTTTATGCTGTTATAGGGGAGCAAAACTTGGCAACCACAAAATGCAACTCTTTGGCATGTAGACTATTTTAGGCTGAATATTTTTAAGAAACAAAGTTCAGGAAGAACCTTTGACCTGCCCTCTGTCTAAAAGAGTTTAGAAAGAGGAATTGCTCTAGGAAGGGAGCTATCACCATAGATAACTATAGTGTAATATAAACTATGTGGAGTAGTAAGTGTAAGAAAGAAAGAAACAGTGGGGCACAGAGAGGAATTTTAGCAGTGTAATATAACAGGAGAAAATCTTCAGATCTAAAGAAAAATAAAGCATTCTTAGATTTGACACCTAAAGTAAGAAAAAAAAATGATAAATTGAACTTCCTCAAAATTAAGCTTTAATTCCACGAAAGACCCTGTTTAAAGAGGATGAAAATAAAAGTCAGAGAGTGGAAAAATTGTTTGCAAATCCACACTTAACAGGATTATTGTCTAGATTTTATAAACAGTTCTCAAAACTTATCAGTAAAAATACAAACAGTTCAATTGGAAAATGGACAGGAGACATGAAGAGCCATTTCACTGAAGAGGATATACTAATAAATAATAAGCATATGAAAAGATGTTCAATATCAGTAGCCACTAAGGAAATGTGTATTAAAACCACAATGAGTGATCATTACGTATCTCTCAAAACCACTAAAATAAAAATAGTGACAACATCAAAGGCTAGTGAGGATGTCAAGGAATGAGAACAGTTACACACTGCTGCTGGGAATGCAAAATGGTACCACCATTTGTCTAGAGAACAGTTTCTTAAACTATAAACATACAACTATCATATGACCTCGCAACTGCACTCCTGGGTATTTATCCTAGAGAAACAAAGACTTATGGTGATATTATGATTTATAATTAGAAATATACATTTTGTAAAGTTTAAAAAATTAAAAAAATATATATATACATTTTGGTCTTTGTCTATGGTTCCTGGCACAAAATTCCTAAAACCACTATAATTTCCTAATTGACAAAAAGCAATAGAAGCATCTTTTGTTATAATACTCAGCCTTTTGTTCTCAGTCCTAAAATAGATTCAGAGAATAAAGGTGAAAAGAGTATCTTTTGTTGTTTATAACAAATTTGATCAATCATGTCTATATAAGAAAGCCTCCATAAAAATCCCTCAACTATAGGGCTTGGAGGCTTCCAGGTTGGTGAACACATGAGGTACAAGGAGGGTGACACACCAAGAAAAGGAAGTTCCACACCCACCCCTCAAGTCCTGCCCTATGCATCTCTTCTAACTGGTTTCTCCTGAGTTGTATCCTTTCATAAAAAACTGGTCACCTAGTTAGTAAACTGTTTTCTGGAGTTCTGTGAGCTATTCTAGCAATTCACTGAATCCACAAAGGGGGTTGTGGGACCCTCAGATTTACAGCCAGTTAGTCAGAAACACAGGTGACAACCTGGCCTGCGACTGTCATCTGAAGTGGGAGCAGTCTTATGGTGTCAGGATTGACTTAAACTATAGGATACCTGGTTGGTGTTCACTGGTAACTGAGGAATTGCTTGGCACAGATGAAAAAACCCACATATCTGGTTTATAGTGTTGTAAACAGTGCTCCCAGAGAAAACCAGTGAGTGGTTTGTTGTTGTTGTTTTAATATTTGCTTTCGCACAAAAACCTGAGAATGAATCTATGTAGCAGCTTTATGTAAAAAAGCTCTAAACTGGCCACAACCGAGAAAACAAACTGGCACATCAATACCCTGGAACTAGTAAGCAATAAAAGGAACTAACTCTTGATAAATGCAACAACTTGGATGAATTGCCAGATAAATTACGCTAAGTGAGAAGTACTAATTCAAAAATGTTATATATGTAGGTCATCATTCTGTTCTAGCACTGAGAAAATGATATAAATGAAGAACACATTAGCCACTGCCAGGAGTTAAGGAGCAGGTGAGAGCACAAAGGAAATCCGGTGGTTGTAACAGGGGAGCAGGAAGGATGCTGTGGCAACAGAATTGTTCTATACCTTTAATGTATCAAAGTCAATATCCTAGTTGTGATATTGTACTGCTTTTGTATGACGTTAACCTTCGGGGGGCGGGGCGGGGAGGAGGAAAAGATACAAGGGATCTGTCTGTATTTTTTTCTTAAAGTTGAGTATTATCTACAAATATGTTAAAATAAAATAGTTTAGGGGCATCTGGGTGTTCAGTCAGTAAAATGGCCAACTCTCAATTTCGACTCAGGTCATCATCTCAGGGTTGTGGGATTAAGCCTCGAGTCAGGCTCTGCATTCAGCAGGGAGTCTGCTTGTGGATTCTCTCTCCCCGTGCCCCACACCTCTCCTTGCATGCATGTAATCTCTCAAATAAAATACATACATACATACATAATTTTTTTTAATTAAGAAGTTTTAAAAAATTGACTCCATTTTTTCTTTCCACATAAAAAAGCATGAATAGATGAAAGTAACAAGTTAATTAAAAGCAAAGAAGTACTTCCCTTTTCCTGCCTCAACATCTATGTTTTAACTGTGAGTAAGTGTGCTAACTATATCATGGACTTAATATTCATCTGCAATTGGTAGATCTTTCATACACAGATTAAATATAAAAACAGAAAACATAATGTAATTCTAAATAACATAATCTCCTTACCAATGTACCCTGGAAACGTCCTGGTTTCTTATACCACGCTTTGTTGCCTTCCTCTTCACAGACACACAGATGATCCATAAGTCCGTTACTATACACAAAACATTTTCCTAACAAAGAAGGTCCCAACAGTCAAAAATTATTTCACAAAACTGTACTATTTTTATAGAGGAACAAATTCAAAGTACAATGAGTGGACTAGAAAATTATGAAAAGAGATACAACTTTGTTTTTACATTTTATGATGAAAAATACGTAAATTAATTTACCTAATGACAAAGAACTGGCCTCTAAACTCAAAGTGGTGAAAAGTAATTGAGTAAATTGATGAATTTTATGTTTTCATAAATGTAGTAAGCAAATGCACACAGAAATAAATTCTTTTAGGGTATCTGAGGGAATGCATAGGAATATCAAGGAGGAAAATCTGCTTTGAAATGAGCACATAGGTATACATCTTCTCCACTTGACAACAAGAAAAATCTGGTACCCAAGGGAAATTCAGACAAAAAAAAAATTTTTTTTGAATTATACATACATTAAACATACATATCTGTATATACACATTATATAAACATATACAGAAATCTAATGGATAGCTGAAACTTGTTAAGAAAGTAGATGTTAAAAATTCTCTTAACATGAAAAAAATTGTTAATTTTGTGAGGGGACTGACTAAACTTACTGTGGTGATCTTTTCGCAATATATACATACATCAAGTCATCACATGGCACACCTCAAACTAATACAATGTTATATGTAAATTACACCTCAATTAGAAAAATACACAATTTAAAAAAGTTCTTTTCGGGTGCCTGGGCAGCTCAGTTGGTTAAGACACTGCCTTAGGCTCAGGCCATGATTCTGGCTTCCTGGGATCCAGTCCCATATTGGGCTCCTCCTGCTCTGCAGGGAGCCTGCTTCTCCCTTTCCCTGCCACTCCTCCTGCTTGGGCTCTCTCTGTGTCAAATAAATAAAATAAAATCTTAAAAAAAAAAGTTCTTCTCTATCAATGCAAACAGTGCTATGTTGACTCTTTCTCTGTATTTATGCTGCTCATTCTAGGTATTTATCAGCTTCTCGTTACTTTACCTCAACTTTCCCTCATAGCTATCCTTTCCCATTACTGGACTCACCCTGCCTGCCAAAATTATCTTTTCTGTTCAACCATATATATGAGTCTTGTATACATAGGTCTAAGTGTCTCCTTCTGCTTTTAAGGATTTCTTAAGTATGTAGGAAACTGCTTTCCTTTTAGTCTCCTCCTACAATCTATCTATCCTGTCCTCCGTCTGAACTATAACTGTTGTTCATTCCATCTCAGTGCTGTGCTCATCAGAGTGGCATTTCTGTCTGAGCCAACATTCTCACAGTCCAAGCAGTCTGTTTTCTGCTATTTAAACAAGTTTGTCATAATCTTTATAAAACTGTAAAAGATTTATCAAGGAATTGCTATTTTTGCCCATCTAATAAAGATGTATAACTACTCTTTTCAAGTTCATATAAACTATACTGGCCAACAATTAACCAAGCTGCCTGATAAAATAATCATTTTCTACCACTATATTCAAGCAACACTTAGATAACTGTTGGATGAATGTTTTAGAATGTGCACAGCTTTTGGACTATGAAGGAAGCTAGATTCTAAGGCCCCTCATGCTTAGAATTCTGGTCTTACTTGTGAGGCACATACTCAAATATTAAACCATTCTATGCTTTAATTAGGTATATAAAAGTGTTATGACTGTTTTATATATTATTTATTTTCTGGCTAGACCCCATGATGTACAAGTACTGAAAAAAATTTCCTGCCTGGGATGTCCGTTATCACCACTGCTATTCAACATAGTACTAGAAGTCCTAGCCTCAGCAATCAGACAACAAAAGGAAATTAAAGGCATCCAAATCGGCAAAGAAGAAGTCAAACTATCACTCTTCGCAGATGATATGATACTATATGTGGAAAACCCAAAAGACTCCACTCCAAAACTGCTAGAACTTGTACAGGAATTCAGTAAAGTGTCAGGATATAAAATCAATGCACAGAAATCAGTTGCATTTCTCTACACCACCAACAAGACAGAAGAAAGAGAAATTAAGGAGTCAATCCCATTTACAAGTGCACCCAAAAGTATAAGATACCTAGGAATAAATCTAACCAAAGAGACTAAGAATCTATACACAGAAAACTATAAAGTATTCATGAAAGAAATTGAGGAAGACACAAAGAAATGGAAAAATGTTCCATGCTCCTGGATTGGAAGAATAAATATTGTGAAAATGTCTATGCTACCTAAAGCAATCTACACATTTAATGCAATTCCTATCAAAATTCCATCCATTTTTTTCAAAGAAATGGAACAAATAATCCTAAAATTTATATGGAACCAGAAAAGACCTCGAATAGCCAAAGCAATATTGAAAAAGAAAGCCAAAGTTGGTGGCATCACAATTCCGGACTTCAAGCTCTATTACAAAGCTGTCATCATCAAGACATCATGGTACTGGCACAAAAACAGACACATAGATCAATGGAACAGAATAGAGAGCCCAGAAATAGACCCTCAACTCTATGGTCAACTAATCTTCGACAAAGCAGGAAAGAATGTCCAATGGAAAAAAGACAGCCTCTTCAATAAATGGTGTTGGGAAAATTGGACAGCCACATGCAGAAAAATGAAACTGGATCATTTCCTTACACCACACACGAAAATAGACTCAAAATGGATGAAGGACCTCAATGTGAGAAAGGAATCCATCAAAATCCTTGAGGAGAACACAGGCAGCAACCTCTTCGACCTCAGCCGCAGCAACATCTTCCTAGGAACATCGCCAAAGGCAAGGGAAGCAAGGGCAAAAATGAACTATTGGGATTTTATCAAGATCAAAAGCTTTTGCACAGCAAAGGAAACAGTTAACAAAACCAAAAGACAACTGACAGAATGGGAGAAGATATTTGCAAATGACATATCGGATAAAGGGCTAGTGTCCAAAATCTATAAAGAACTTAGCAAACTCAACACCCAAAGAACAAATAATCGAATCAAGAAATGGGCAGAGGACATGAACAGACATATCTGCAAAGAAGACATCCAGATGGCCAACAGACACATGAAAAAGTGCTCCACATCACTCGGCATCAGGGAAATACAAATCAAAACCACAATGAGATATCACCTCCCACCAGTCAGAATGGCTAAAATTAACAAGTCAGGAAATGAGAGATGCTGGCGAGGATGCGGAGAAAGGGGAACCCTCCTACACTGTTGGTGGGAATGCAAGCTGGTGCAACCGCTCTGGAAAACAGCATGGAGGTTCCTCAAAATGTTGAAAATAGAACTACCCTATGACCCAGCAATTGCACTGCTGGGTATTTACCCTAAAGATACAAACGTAGTGATCCGAAGGGGCACGTGCACCCGAATGTTTATAGCAGCAATGTCTACAATAGCCAAACTATGGAAAGAACCTAGATGTCCAACAATAGACGAATGGATAAAGAAGATGTGGTATATATACACAATGGAATACTATGCAGCCATCAAAAGAAATGAAATCTTGCCATTTGCGATGACGTGGATGAAACTAGAGGGTATCATGCTTAGTGAAATAAGTCAGTCGGAGAAAGACAACTATCATATGATCTCCCTGATATGAGGGAGAGGAGATGCAACATGGGGGGTTAAGGGGGTAGGAGAAGAGTAAATGAAACAAGATGGGATTGGGAGGGAGACAAACCATAAGTGACTCTTAATCTCACAAAACAAACTGAGGGTTGATGGGGGGAGGGGGGTTGGGAGAGGGGGGGTGGGATTATGGACATTGGGGAGGGTATGTGCTATGGTGAGTGCTGTGAAGTGTGTAAATCTGGCGATTCACAGACCTGTACCCCTGGGGATAAAAATATATGTTTATAAAAAAAAAAAATTTCCTGCCTGAGTGTAAGGAGGTATGAGCTTTTAAAAATTAACAAAAAAATTATTCAAACAAAAATGAATAAAGTAACACTTAAAAGCCTGACAATATTTTCAGGGTAACTAGTACACATACCTTTGGAGAAAGGGTTGTTTTGGGCTTGGAGTCGAATTTTAACAACGTCAAGGGGTGTCACTATGAAGAAACATAAATTTTAATTAGGCAGTGATACCTATAAATGGTACAGATATTTGTCCAAAATTCACAAAATATATCAAATCAACTCCTCTTCATGACTACATAATAAGTAAGATTATTATCTTAAAATGGTTTTAAATTTAACATTCTCATTTTTGACCCTGAATTCTGTTTAAAGAGGATCAATGAGAAGACAATGTAATGATTTCTCTTATGACAACTAAACTGTCATTTATAATATTTCTATAACAATAATTCCATTAACGTTAAAATGAAAATACTAGTATTTTAAAGAAAATACATCATCTAAGGTAAAGAATAAGTGTTTTGGAAGTCTATGTAAAAATTTGAGAATAACTCTGTATTACAACTAATGAATAATCAAACAATACTAGTCTTCCTCATCTGTTAAATTCAGCTGTATCAAATAAAAACTATACATAATGAAGATCTGAATAAGCTAGCCAGAAATCATCTTTACTATCACACAGTGTTACTCCATTCAGGAACAGCATGGTAAAGGAGAATGATCTTAATTTGCATGCTATTTTATCCAAGTAAAAAAAAAAGGCCAAATAGTGGTTCTAAGAAAACTTCTCCCCCTCTAAGAATGAGGAGGTCATGGTAAATCATTAGATGATCTCTAAAATCTTTGCAACACTAACATTCTGACCTGAAGTAAAATACTACACCTGAAAGCAATACATTTGTTCTAATCATCTATCTTAAATAAACCGGCCAACTTAAAAACCATTGAAATACAAACTATCACCTAAGTCATTTGTCTTTCTGTGAAAGAAATGGACTAAAAAACCAGAAAAATGTGGCCCAGAGGAATTAAAGAAATTCATGGTTAATGCAAGCAAAGGAAAACATAATTTGTATTTGTTTCTACCATAACTTGCCCAAATTTTGTGTTATTCGTTATACTAATATTTTATTCTATCTTCTTTGTTTCTATTTAAAAAAAGGCTAACAGAGTTATAAAAATTCAATATTGACAGGAACCTCAAAGAACTCCTGGTTTCAGCCCCTACTTCTATAGATGAAAAATGAGGTTCAGAGAGAAGTAGGGACTATCCCAAAGGGCACTTAGCCTGCAAATGGCAAAGCAAGGAATAAAAGTCAAGTCTCTTGATTCTCTGTCCAAGGTTCTTTTCATGTTACCATGCTCACGGAGAGAAAGCATGATGCAGCATGAATGATAATTTTAGCATTATTTCACAGATGGTAACCTCAAATGGAAATCATTCAGTTACATAATCCACAAGAGTAACATTATTCTACCCATTAGTGATGTCAGTATAGCTCCACTGCAGGAAGCAAGCATTTGTTGAAGAGGTGTCACTTTGATAATCTGTGGTCCCTCTGATTCAGGATCCATATTTTTAACTGACTGAAGAAAAATCTGTTAAGGAAAAGATGTAAAATAAAAGTTTAACAAACATACCTTTAAGTTTGATTGCCATAAATTAAATAAACTATAAAAACAACCAGTATTAATATTAAAGCACATGTTGACCAGTATCAAAAATGAATACCTAAGTTCTATACAAAGGCAATACACAACTGTCATTAATAAAATATGTACTCTCATTCTCCAAATGCACTTCAGCTGTGTGAGCAGCAACATATTTATAAGACAGGTAAGAGAGCAGTAAGGAAACAGACTCTGGCCAGGTAACAGAATAAAGGCACCCGACTAATAAGTCTCAGAATTTGTGCATTTAGCCTCATAAGAACTACTCAGATAACTCTCATCTAATGGAGAGTTAGCAAATATACCACTATTTGTACTACACACCAAAAGTTGCTATGAAGGTATAAAATAAAAACACATAATCTTCAAAAGAAGCATTATCTTAAAAAAATTTGGTGAGAAAACATATACTCCTTTGCAAAAAGCCAGTTAATATAAGAAAGTATAAAAATCACTTATAAACCTTTTCTTCAAAAATAACCACTAGCAATATAAGTGTCATCTTTCCAAATGTCTATGTACACACAAATACATTTATATGCATGTCCATATGTATATAATACATACAGACACACATGTACATACAAATTACATGTTTACTAGTCAAATATGTACAAATATTCATATATCTGTGTACACGCATCTTTTTTTTTTTAAGGTTTTATTTATTTATTTGACAGAGAGAAATCACAAGTAGGCAGAGAGGCAGGCAGAGAGAGAGGGGGAAGCAGGCTTCCTGCTGAGCAGAAAGCCCGACACGGGGCTCGATCCCAGGACCCTGATATCATGACCTGAGCCGAAGGCAGTGGCTTAACCCACTGAGCCACCCAGGCGCCCTACACACATCTTTTTAAAAGATCTTGTTTAAAGGAACAAATAGGTTCCACTGCCGGGGTGGCTCAGTCAGTTAAGTGTCCGACTCTTGGTTTCAGCTCAGGTCACAATCGCAGGGGTCATAAGACCAAGTACCATGTCTGGCTCCAGGCTCAGTGCAGAGTCCACTTGAGATTCTCTGCTTTTCCCTCTTCCTCTGCCCCTCCCCCTGCTCTTGCGACCAAGCACTCTCTCTCTCAAATAAATAAAATATTAAAAAAATATATATATTTCTATTGCTTAGTAGCCAGAGTGGGCACTTAAAAATACAGACACTGTATCAATAAATATAGAGGTACATTGTCATTTTTAATACAGTTTTTTATATTTATTAGTCTCCTATTGTTAGATAACTATGTTACTGTCAAATTTTCCTTATTCATTTATTCATACACTCTTATATAAATATCTCCATACACACAACTTTTTGTAGTCTTCCTAGAATTACTACAGAAGAAAAAGTAAGATTGTGAGGCTCAACTAAAAACTTGAAACAAATTGCCAAAATGCTTTCCAGAAAGGAGGGACCAATTTACACTTCCACTGGAAATAAATAAGATCCTATTAACCCAAAATTTCACCAAACTCTCCCTCTCGTTACATACCACTTATTTTTTTTATGAACAGTTTGAAAGTAGTTTGCATACAACACACCCTGTTATTCTAATCACCTCAGAATATTCTTATATTTCACAGTAACATTATCAAATTGAGGAAACTTAGTACTCTGTAGTTTATATTCCAATTTTATCAATTATCCCAATAATCAACTTTATAAAAATGAATGGTGGTTTAATTGTTTCTTTAGATTTTTATTATTACTCACCTGGTTTAAGTCTTTTCTTCAACTCTATGCTCCAATATTTTATTGTTTGTAACATCAGTAGCTGAAAATCTGTAGTGAAAAATGAAAACAATTGTCTTATCTTTTCACACCAGAAAGGGAGAACCTCAAGGAAAGGAGCATGTAAAAAAACCTTAAAAGACAAATCAACAGGGGTGCCTGGGTGGCTCAGTGGGTTAAGCCTCTGCCTTTGGCTCAGGTCATGATCTCAGGGTCCTGGGATCAAGCCCTGCACTGGGGTCTCTACTCACCAGGGATCCTGCTTCCCACCCCCCTGCCTGCCTCTGGTCTTGGTCAAATTAAAAAAATAAATTAATTAAAAGTAAAAAAACAGACAGCAGCACCTGGGTGGCTCAGTGGGTTAAAGCCTCTGCCTTCGGTTCAGGTCATGATCCCAGGGTCCTGGGATCAAGCCCCACATCGGGCTCTCTGCTCAGTGGGAAGCCTGCTTCCCTGCCCCTCTGTCTGCTTGTGATCTCTGTCTGTCAAATAAATAAATAAAATCTTTTAAAAAACAAGGAAAAAGACAAATCAACAAATATTTATTGAATACCTTCTATTAAGTGCTTTGAGGAATATGAAAAGCATTCCACAAATGCTCATATTACATTTATTAAATTTCATTTATAAAACTTCATAGTATAATAAACTTCAGGGCACCTTGGTGGCTTGGTCGGTGAAGCATCTGCCTTTGGCTCCTGATCCTGGGGTCCTGGGATCAAACCCTGTGCCAGCCTGGCTCCCTGCCCAGAGGAGAGTCTGCTTCTCTGTCTTCCTCTGCCCCTCCCATAAGCAAGCTCATGCTTGCTCTTTCTTCCTCAAATAAATAAATAGAATCTTTAAAAAAAATAGTATAATAAACTTCATTTATTAAACTTCATTTATAAATCTTCACATTGTCCCAGTAAATTTATTTTGCTTAAAAAAAAAACAAAACTCTCAGAGCACCTGGGTTGTTCAGTTAAGTGTCAGACTCTATCTTAGCTCAGGTCTTGATCTCAGAGTCATGAGTTCAAGTCTGGTGTTGGGCTCCACACTGGGCGTGGAGCCAGACATGGTACTCGGTCTTATGACCCCTGGGATCGTGACCAGATCTGAAACCAAGAATTGGATGCTTAACTGACTGAGCCACCCAGGCAGTGGAACCTATTTATGTTTCTTATCATTTCAAAACAAAACAAAAAATTCTAGAAGCTGAAAATGCTGATCAATCTTGGTATCACGAGTCAACTAGATTTTGTGACACAAAATTATGTCACCAGGATTATCTGTAAAGCATTTTGCAGGGAAAAAACCTTTAATTTTAATCTAAACAATCCATTAGATCTAACTTCCAATTTATAGAAAATTCAGAGAGTAAAGTAAGAGCGTAAAGAATACCAAAAAATAGAAGTTGAAATACCATATAGGACTATTGTCTTCATTCTTTAACAATGAAATTAAGTTGGGAAAAAGGCAGCAGGGAAGGGAGAACTGTTCTAGAATAAGGGAATCTTCTGAGAGTCACCAACCAGATACATCCTGGTTCAAATAAATAAAATTTTAAAAGTCAGTTTGAGAGTATATAAAGAAATCTGAATATGGGCTGAACATTAGATAAAATTAAAAATTATTATTTTTTGGTGAGATAGTGGTATTATACCAATACCAGTTTAATACCAGTTATAATGGAAGGGTCATTTTTTTTTAAGAAATTCATATTATAAATATTAAAGGCTAAAATGTTGTAATAGTTGTAGTTCATAATACTTCAGAAAAAATAAATAATAAATAAATTTATTTATTTATTATCCTGAACAACAGGATTTTTTAGGTTTGTGAAATATATGCAGAATCTCCAAGTCTAAGAAAATACTCCTAACATTCTTTTATATGAACATGGATAAGTGGGAAAATAATATACACATGTTAGAATATAGGTACATTCCTCCTCCAGAAATAAAAGGCCTACAATGCTTTATTTTGACATCTATTCCAGCAAAGTTGGCACCTGAATATGCTCAAACTTGAAACTAAAGCCAGAAAGATAGTTATGTTTCTAGTAATTGTTACAGAATGTTAAGGGGAAAAAGTCAGAAATTTAGAGGTAACATTTTATAACTTAGAATTAAGGTTACTGGATTTTTTATTACTTTTTTTTTTATTTCTTTTCAGCGTAACAGTATTCATTGTTTTTGCACCACACCCAGTGCTCCATGCAATAGGTGTCCTCCTTAATACCCACTACCTGGCTCCCCCAACCTCTCACCCCAGCCCCTTCAAAACCCTCAGGTTGTTTTTCAGAGTCCATAGTCTCTCATGGTTCACCTCCCCTTCCAATTTCCCTCAACTCCCTTCTCCTCTCCATCTCCCCATGTCCTCCATGTTATTTGTTATGCTCCGCAAATAAGTGAAACCATATGATAATTGACTCTCTCTGCTTGACTTATTTCACTCAGCATAATCTCTTCCAGTCCCGTCCATGTTGCTATAAAAGTTGGGTATTCAACCTTTCTGATGGAGGCATAATACCCCATAGTGTATATGGACCACATCTTCCTTATCCATCTGTCCATTGAAGGGGATCTTGGTTCTTTCCACAGTATGGCGACCATGGTCATTGCTGCTATAAACATTGGGGTACAGATGGCCCTTCTTTTCACTACATCTGTATCTTTGGGGTTAATACCCAGTAGTGCAATTGCAGGGTCACAGGGAAGCTCTATTTTTAATTTCTTGAGGAATCTCCACATTGTTTTCCAAAGTGGCTGCACCAACTTGCATTCCCACCAACAGTGTAAGAGGGTTCCCCTTTCTCCACATCCTCTCCAACATACGTTGTTTCCTGTCTTGTTAATTTTGGCCATTCTAACTGGTATAAGGTGGTATCTCAATGTGGTTTTAATTTGAATTTCCCTGATGGCTAGTGATGATGAACATTTCTTCATGTGTCTGACAGCCATTTGTATGTCTTCATTGGAGAAGTGTCTGTTCATATCTTCTGCCCATTTTTTGATATGATTATCTGTTTTGTGTGTGTTGAGTTTAAGAAGTTCTTTATAGATCCTGGATATCAACCTTTGTCTCTACTGTCATTTGCAAATATCTTTTCCCATTCCATGGGTTGCCTCTTTGTTTTGTTGACGGTTTCCTTTGCCGTGCAGAAGCTTTTGATTTTGATGAAATCCCAAAAGTTCATTTTTGCTTTTGTTTCCTTTGCCTTTGGAGACATGTCTTGAAAGAAGTTGCTGTGGCTGATATCGAAGAGGTTACTGCCTATGTTCTCCTCTAGGATTCTGATGGATTCCTGTCTCACGTTGAGGTCTTTTATCCATTTCGAGTTTATCTTTGCGTACGGTGTAAGAAAATGGTTGAGTTTCATTCTTCTACATATAGCTGTCCAATTTTCCCAGCACCATTTATTGAAGAGACTTTTTTCCACTGTATATTTTTTGCTGTTTTGTCGAAGATTATTTGACCATAGAGTTGAGGGTCCATATCTGGGCTCTCTACTCTGTTCCACTGGTCTATGTGTCTGTTTTTATACCAGTACTATGCTGTCTTGGTGATCACAGCTTTGTAGTAAAGCTTAAGATCAGGTAACGTGATGCCGCCAGTTTTATTTTTGTTTTTCAACATTTCCTTAGCAATTTGGAGTCTCTTCTGATTCCACACAAATTTTAGGATTATTTGCTCCAGCTCTTTGAAAAATACTGGTGGAATTTTGATCGGAATGGCATTAAAAGTATAGATTGCTCTAGGCAGTACAGACATTTTAACAATGTTTATTCTTCTGATCCAAGAGCATGGAATGGTCTTCCATCTTTCTGTGTCTTCTTCAATTTCTTTCATGAGTGTTCTGTAGTCCCTCGAGTACAGATCCTTTACCTCTTTTGTTAGGTTTATTCCCAGGTATCTTATGGTTCTTGGTGCTATAGTAAATGGAATCGATTCTCTAATTTCCCTTTCTGTATTTTCATTGTTAGTGTATAAGAAAGCCACTGATTTCTGTACATTGACTTTGTATCCTGCCACATTACTGAATTGCTGTATGAGTTCTAGTAGTTTGGGGGTGGAGTCTTTTGGGTTTTCCATATAAAGAATCATGTCATCTGTGAAGAGAGAGAGTTTGACCTCTTCATTGCCAATTTGGATACCTTTTATTTCTCTTTGTTGTCTGATTGCTGTTGCTAGGACTTCTAATACTATGTTGAACCAGAGTGGTGAAGTGGGCATCCTTGTCGTGTTCCTGATCTCAACAGTAAGGCTGTCAGCTTTTTCCCATTGAGGATGATATTTGTTGTGGGTCTTTAAAAGTAGTTTAGAAAAATATATTAGCAATCTCCTAAGATCTTCACATGTATCTACTTACAATGAGATCTGTGAAATTAGTCTTTGATTTTTTTTGAAAAATAAAGTAGAGAAAAAAAGAATAATATAGGCAAAGATTTGGGGGTAGTTGGAAAAAAAGTGGGAAGTAATAATCTTAGTGGACTGTCTAGAACTTATGATGTATTCTCCAGGGCTTTAAATTCTTTACAGTCCTATCAACGTACTTCCCTCATATCATCCTCAATGGGGAAATACTGAAAGACTTTCCTCTACGATCAGATACAAGACAGGGATGTCCACTCACACCACTGCTATTTCACATAGTACTGGAAGTCCAGGCCTCAGCAATCAGACAACATAAAGAAATAAAAGGCATTCAAATTGGCCATGAAGATGTCAAACTTTCACTATGACATGATACTCTATGTAGAAAAGACTACCCGTACCTGCAAGTTACTAGAACTGATACACGAATTCAGCAAAGTAACAGTATACAAAATCAATGTAGAGAAATCTGTTGCATTTCCATCCACCGATAATGAAGAAGCAGAAAGAGAAATCAAGGAATTGATCCTATTTACAACTGCACCAACAACCATAAGAATAAGTAAGAATAAACCTAACCAAAGAGGTGGAACACCTGTATTATGAAAACTACAGAACACCTGTATTATGAAAACTACAGAACACTTATCAAACTGAAGATAACACAAAGAAATGGAAAAACATTCCATACTCAT